GAAATGCAAATAATTATTTAGTTTTATATTAAACTTTTTCTAAATGAGTTTGAAACTAAATATACAGAACGGTATTTTGTATCCTTACATTTTTGACGACTGCTTGCTATTATTGAATACGCTTCAAAATTGCAGACAAAACTAATTGACAAAGGAACGTCATTTAATGCAGGGGCAAAAATTTCAAAATTTTAACAAAACCAGGCGATTCTTCAGCATTTTTTAGATTAGGTCCCACGGGCTTTTTTAGATTAGGTGTTGTAGAAACTCCGTAAAAGCACCTCCTGATCACGGAAATGACATTGAATTTGTGCGCAAATGACTGGTTTAGAAAATATTTATATTTAAGCGCTGCATTTTTTAAGCACAGATCTTCTTAAAGTGCTTTTTATGAAATGTTGGGTTGTTAAGGTGTTAAATACTCCTAAACCTGAAAATTCTTGTTCCGTGGATAATTTGGCTGTCGAAATTTTTGAGGGTGAAAATGCGTCAGTATTTGGTTGGCTATATTTGGCGCCACTAATAGCTCGTCGGACCTAAATTAGAAAAGGATCAAGATGTCACTACTCATTGTCCCACTTTTCTTAAAATTTCGTTCTTCAGTTTTCGGCCGAAAAAGCAAGTTGTCGAAATTTATGTAAGGTCATTGTATGTATAGAACAGTAGGGTCACTTGGAAATTACGATCGTTTACTTTCTGACTTTGCATAACGACCAGGATTGATATCATTTACACATGAGAATGGCATTACGTTAAACTTGTTTGTTAATTAGAGGAGTGATACAGTGACATGGCATACATAGCATGACAAAACACCACACGGGCATCACAGTTTTATCAGGTCTGATCCTTCTGACGAAGAAATGTGCTTGAAGTTGTAATGTTTTTAAATCAATGACACCAACTGAAACTTTTAGAATCACAGCGTACTGCAAATCAGAAAGTAAACAATTGCATGGCATATTGTTGTACGTGTTTAGCAAATTTTCTAATATACGTTACAGAAAGAAAGAGGGAGAGAGCTGCTTATACCGGATGTCTGGAAAATGGCAGATTAACTCTTCGCTACGCTCTTAACAATCAACTGGTAAGTCTGGGAAAAATAGTGAAAAAAATCTTTCTCACATTTTGGTTCTTTTGCTACCTTTAACAACTAAATAACACATTCATTATCACAATAACTAAGTAGTAATAAAACTTTTAGTTAATATTTCTCTCGCCCATGACCATTTCAGTTAGAATATACAAAGATGTGGTTGTGTTCTATTTGTAATAATTTGATAAAATGTTTGCCTGATATAAAGCGAAGGTACAAATTAGCAAAAATCGAGTAAGCAGTTAAAAATGTTTGACGTCTCCAACATTGTCACAGGTTTCAAAACCCTACGTTTAAAATGTTCGCAGTTTATTTTAGATCCCTTGCTGGTGTTTTACTTTCGAATAAATTCAAAGGAATCTGGTGTTTTGTTGCTGGATGAACTGGAAAAAATCTTTGAGCTTTTAGTGTTTTATTTTTTAATTTGGGGAACTCTTGGATACCCCTGGTGTATTATTTTGAGAGCCCATGGAGATTTTTTTTGTAAATTATTTAAAACAATTTTGGGGGACTTTGTGTCCTACTTTTGGAAAATTCTGACCTACCTGTTTTTGAGTTAATTTTGGGAGCCCGTTTTTTTTTTTGAAAAATTTAAGACAATCTTGAGGTTGTAGGTATTCCTGTTTGGAAAGAATTTGAAAGTGTTTTGGAGCCTCTGGTATCTTTTCTTATAATAATTAAATTTTAGAGCATAGGTCATTTGCCAAAATTAGTCTTCACAGGTACTAGCCCCACTCACCCGCCCTCTCTTTTCTTAGAGGGTATCTCATTTGCCAAAATCATTCTTATTTTAGCAGGCACTAGCCCCGCCCACCCACCCTCTCTGTTCTTGGAAGGTATGTCATTTGCCAAAATCTGTTTTATCTTAGCAGGTACTAGCCCCTCCCAACCGCCCTCTCTTTTCTTAGAGGGTATGTGATTTGCCAAAATCTGTTTTATCCTAGCAAGTACTGATGATTAATTGTTACAAAAAATGATCAAAATTTGGAAACATTACGAGCTTACTTATATGCACAAGGAGGAATTTTGAACATCTTCTGTAGTGTTTAGTTGGTTATGCTTTAATGGATTTTCTTTTGTTGGTTTTGTTTTTATAATAATTTATAAATGTCTTACTAAATGATTTTTGGTTTATTTATTAATGAAAAATAACAGCTTGTTTTATTAATAATAATGCCCAACGATTAATGATTATTGGTTATTGTCCGAAAAAAAATAAAAGGTGGATTTCAGTCACCATCGTTACTTAGAAATCAGAAAGTAAGCCGGACCGTGGCCGGAGGTATTCACGCATTAGGTGCGTACAGTGTTGCCAATTTTACTTTTATAAAATCACGTGTTTTGCGTAATCTACATTATAAAGAATTTTTTTATTATTTTTTTGGGACTCCCGTACATAACGTACTGAAGAGTTAATCCGCCATTTTCCAGACACCCGGTATAACTAACATGCTGTCACTTTTGCATTTCTAGTGTGGTGTTAATGGTGCGTATAAAGAAAAACGCTTAGTTAAAAAAATTAAGATACTTTGTGTTAAAATGGGTATAAAGTCGCAGACAAAAAGTAGCATCAAAATTTTGAAGAGATTTGTATACGTATTATAATGTGTAACGAGTAATTAGTGACTATTAATGTTTGTGATTTCTTTTGTCAGGCCGACAACATACATATTTAAAATTTTATGATGGCATACCTGGTGTCAAATTAAAATTTTAGGTACCAATTCAGTAAGTGTCATCTTCTCATTGGTTTTTCAGGCGCACTATCTCGAAATTGACAATTGTGAAATGGCATGCCAACACTGCTTCCAATAATTTAGAACTGCCAACCCAAATATTTGCTTCAATTATTAAGTCACTAACCGGTGTTTTTCTTTTAAAAACTCACCACCTGTTGATTAAGAAAAAAAAAACTTATATAGCATACAGTGTTGTTCAATACTTCATTGGCACGCCTGTTTTTTGGCAGTTTTGATAACGCTCACTTAAATATTTCTACATTTTTGAAAGAAAAAAATGTAACGAAAAAAGAAAAATATTTTAAGAGTTTAATTTAAAATGGCACTTATTAATTGCTGCCATCTGATTTTCACAGTCGAGCAAGCCAAAACTAAAAGAAAGTTTAAAGACAGTTTTTTCGGTACTAAAAATAATGTTCACTACGTAGTCTTTATTAATTAACATTTTAAACTAGGTTTTTGAGTTCACTGTAGGAACAATTATGAAGTGTCATGTCTTCCCTCATCTGAGTACTTTTATGAAATAATTAAAGCAATGGACTTCAAATATAAGAATGAAAAAGACAAAATTTTTCTCTAAACTCCCCAAAATCAAGTCAGTGTAGTGTTGCCGATAATAGTTTCCGTTGTTATGATGATAACGCAAAAATCTAATGGATTGTATTAACGGTTTGCGATATCACCATAGCAACGTCGTTTTGTGACGTCGCTAAATTAACTTGAAATTGAGTGAGTATTAATTAATATTAATGTTTGGCATTCCTGATTTTTCAATTGATATTTATTACACCAAGTCAGAAGCTCCCATCTTCTCAACTGGCGCACTTAAGTCAAAATTGACAACTGTAAACTGACATACTAGCATTGCTGCCAAATTCAGAATTGCCAACACAATTTTTTTTTCAATCATTAATAGTCACCCGATATGTTACTCAATATTATTTTTCCCACTTTGCGTTTTTCAGTTTATTGTTTTGTAAATTTCTTTCTCTTGTTGGAGAAACGATCCATTAGTTGACTTTTGAGCATTCATAAATTTGAATTCTTGAGTATAAAAAGTGAAATGAGATGTCATGATGGGTAATTAAAAGTAAAAATAAATGAATAAATAAAAAAATAATAATAATAACAGTTAAATATAATCATAAGAAATTTTAACCTTATTCTTGGAAAATATTCAAGGTTTTCTTGCAAATTATGTATTTCAAACTGCTTTACTGATTACAGGCTAAGTTATCAAAGAAGACAAAAGGCACTTTTAACATTTTTGTATGTTTTGAAAAAATTGGCCGTTAAAGTGGAAATCTTATACTCATATAAATATCTGTCAAAGGTAGATGATAAGTCCATTGTGATACAAGTTCTCATTACCCTTGCAGCAGAAATTAAAAAAGAACATACAAAGTTGTTAAATAATGTTAATAATATTCTGTATTATTTATAGTACTTTGTGCCATAGTAGAAACATACATACTATTTAAATTTTTGGTAGCTGAACACATTTCCTTCATTTGTATTCCAGTTGAATCAATTATTTTTAAGATTCTCAGTGAACTGACATCAAAGGAAGTACAATGACGTCAAGAATTTATCTAACGTGACAGACAAAATTTATTACATTTTGTTGACTGAAAAATTGGTTAGTTGAGGAATAAATTATTTAGTTAGTTGGAAACTTTCAAAATAGATATAGTAGTTACCGAAACAATCATTACACAGCGACGACCAAGTGAATGACAAATAAGCAGCAATATTTTTTCGAAGATTTTAGCTATTTCAAAGAGGCGATGGGTGGATGAATGCTAACCTTGTTGGTGAAACGCGTCGATCTTTTGTTCGGTGTTGCAGGTGTGTTGAGTATCTTTAGTGCACAGAATGATCAAATACAAGATTCCATAGCTATCAGAATTTAACAACCAATTTGGTGAAAGAATGTTGTATTGAAATCTTTACACCATTAACCACCCAAAGTACAACAAATACCATACGTCACACACATGAAGTTGTTGGAAAGACCAATTAAGTATTACTATAATTCTATAACTCACGTGACGTAGCATTCGACACGCAATTGGCCATTCCAACTTATTCGCCTCAGAGTGTCCCAACCCCACTCCATAAGTTACTATCTTAATTTGTACTAGATGTAACTATCCCTTTCTTACCGTTATTCGTTGCTTTTGATGAGTTTTCAAATGCTTCGACAGATGATCAGACCTCATAAACTTCTTACTACACTCATTACATTGGAACCTTTTTTCACCAGTGTGTGTCCTTCGGTGCCTTTGTAATTCATCAGACCTCGTGAACCTTTTACCACAGAACAACCAACTACACACAAATGGTCTCTCACCAGTATGCCACCTCAGATGCGCACGTAAATGTGACGTTTTTCCGTACACTTTATTACACCCCGGAATGTGACATATATGTTGCTTTTTTCTGTCAGCGTGCCTTTCTCCTTCTTGACAGTTGGGACAGGTACACGCCACCCTTCGAACTCTTTGCTTCTGTAAACCGTCTTGAGTATTGTCGCCGATCGGTGTGGCGTTGTTAACTTCTGGCGGTGTGGCGGTCACTACTACTCCCGGTGTGAGTGGGGCTGCAGCTTGCTGAGTTGTCGTGACGTTTGGGATGACTTGCCATTTATTAGGGTCGTTGGGGTCCTGTTGGATGTGTTGCCCTACTGCGATTTGGGATGCGGCGGCGGGTTGAGTGATCACTTGGACATTTCCTAGCCCTGAATTGCAAATTAGATTAATTAGTAATGATCTATTAAATTAGGCATTTGGAGAGGACATAAATTAGTCTGCGTTGAGTCAGAAGTAGATCATATGAAAGGGAAAATAATACAAAATTCTTTAATAATGTTAAATCAAAACTAAAAGTAATGTAACACCAGAGCTATATCGTTTTATAGATTTCTTCATGTTAGTTAACTGTTATAAATTTCAACAGACCTTTTGAAATAACTGAGATATTACAGTGGAAGAAGTGTAAACTAGGAAGGACATAATATTAATTTTAATGGATATAAAAATAATGTTCAATTCGGTAGTTACAGCGTACGTCATCAATTTTTTGAAAAGGATGAACAGTCCGATTTTGGTAACACAACTATAATCGTACCACACACTTAAAAGTTTCAGAGCAATCGATTTCTTAAAAAATCTATTTTATGGAGATTGCGCCTGAACAGGACCTACATATTTTTCCCAACATGCATATCACTTTAATTTCTCACTTATTAGTGTCCCTGGAGTAATGAGAACACAATAACATAGCATTATGCAGTGGCGGCGTAGCGTGGTTTGGCACCCAGGATGGTTTTCTATTGAGCATTCCCCATATAATAAAACAACAAATACTAAACGTACTTACGGGTCTTTATTTTGGCAAAATGTTCTGTGACATTATCAAAAATTTACATTCCTCTATTTTTCAATTGATAAAATGGAAAGATTGCTTAGTCGCGCTTAGCTCATTCTGGATCTTAAGCACTATTTTATCAATTTTAATTTTGAAAAGCTACTTTCACATAAAGCCACCGAAACAAATGATTAAAAAAATCTTATTACTCAGCGCTAAAGTCGGAACAGACTCAGAAAATCTGAAAAGCTCCAATGTAGTCCACTGAACCCTATTAAGTCCTAATCATACTTGCTCAAATCTAAATAGTAATAATTTTCATTCGTTGGCAGACCTAGGGGCGAAGCCTAATTGCAAAATCCATATTTCCTTACAAAAATTTACCATTTTAAACGTACTTTAAGTTTCTAACAATAAAAAAAATCATCACAATTGAGATGGGGTGGCTGAGTGGGGTTAACAGTTTGCCTTTTTTTCTTAATAACATAGTATTCTTTGAACAACGCGATACTCAAAAACACGTTTTTAATTTCTTGTAAAGAAATAAGTATTTTGTAGTTAAACTCCGTCCCCTTGGTTCACGGCGAATAAAAAAATCATTACAATTGAGATAGGGAGGGTGGGCGGTCTAACATTTTGCATTTTCTGTTTTAATATGTGTAGACTTCTTTTCACAACATGAAACTTAAAACATGTTTAAAAAGGAAAATTTGTATAAGGAAATATCGATTTTGCAATTAGGCACCGCCCCATAATTGCAAAATCCATATTTCCTTGCAAAAACCATTTTAACCATGTTTTAAGTTTCTTGTTATGAAAAGATAGCTATGAATATTAAGATAAAAAAAGGCAAAATATAAGCCCCACTCACCTCTTCTATCTCAATTCTGATGATTTTTTTATTCGTCGTAAGCCGAGAGGCGCGGCGGAGCTTAATTGTAAAATCCTATTTTTCTACGAGAAATTACCATGTGAAATATGTTCCTAAGTGATCGTGTTATACAAAAGAAAACTAAACGTATTAATTAAAAAAGAAAATCAAAAGAGAAGCCCCACCCATCCGTCTCGATTTTAACTATGATGAATTTTTCATTCAATGTGAGTCTCGCCCAACCGCCCTATCCCAATTGTGATGATTTTTTTATTCATCGGGAACCAAGGGGGCGGAGCTTATTGCAAAATACTTATTTCTCTACAAGAAATAAAAACATGTTTTTGTGGAGTTAGTGCTGTCAACCAGAAAAATGACCCCCCTACTTCAGGGGATTTTCCTTCAAGTTGGAAGTACTACACACTACCGCAATATGATTGGTTGAAAACCCAACGTCAACGGCAACATAAGGGCGAAAGTTAATCAAGTTCGTCGGCCGACTCTCTACTTTTACATTTTCTCGACCTTTCATAACCCCTAGAGTATGAAGAAATAGGTCACCCATTTCCGTCTGTCTGGCTGTCTGGCGTCCCGATTTTTTTTTTTTTTTTTGTATGTTTTTGTAGAGTGATTATTCTGTAAGTATTCTCTGACTGTGCGAGTGAGTTGTCGTTGTCACCTCTTGGTGCTTGGTACCCGGGGTGGACCGCCCCCACCGCCCCACGGATTATGTACTATATTACACATTTTAAAATTAATGTACTTATTTGTTCAGACCCGATTTCACTCTTTTTTAATCATCTTTATCGAAAAATGATCTTGTGTATAATTTGATTTGTACTAAGTGATCTTAAATTTACTGTACTTAAGTAAAAGTAAATGTTTGGAAATCGCTATATTTAATAATAGTCCAAGGATAATTTACTTTCTATTTTCAGTTTTTTGTTTTAAGAACAGCACCAGCATCAAATACTATGAGCAATTTTATTTCATTCACTGATTCAACTCCAAAGAGTACTTGTTTCCCCTGTAGTTGTAATGACAACGTAAATGAATTTTAAATGTCAACTGCTAACATTTAAGTAGTGGTAGATATATGTAGTTACAAAAAAAAAAAAAAACAAATGCCCCGAGCAAGTCTAATTAATAGACGGTCAAATTTTATTTAAATTATAAGGCAATATGGTTTAATCAGATCTTTTAAAACAGAAATGGTTGTTTTTCCAAAGAAATCAATTTTTTATATTTAACATTATCCTATCCTATCTTCTTCTCCTCAAAACTGTTATTATTGGCCTAGATTTAGCAAGTGCGCTGTTAGTTTTAACACGAAGCAATCAGTTGTTTTAATGGCAATAGTGCTACGGGCACCACAACACGAGTTTTGTGATTTAGTAAACTGTATCGCATATTACATCCTTGCTTTTATCATATTTATACACAAATAAATTTTTCTTTGACAGTTCTGACCTTAAAATATTGCCCTTTAGCTTTCTCGTTATATTTAAATACCGACTATATTCTTGACGCGTTGATACGCATATACATACCGGGTATATTCTGCACCGTTGGTATCGCTTGAATGTTAGGAACTTGAATAATGTTGGTCCCCCTGACCTGTTGCAAGTTGGTGGCTGGTATAACGGTAAACTGCTGTCCGTTGGCCCCCGTGAAAGTCAGTGGCGTCGTTATGTCAGACTGAACAGTGGCACTTTGTGAAACAGACGTTGGTGTTTGAGCAGGCGCCGCTACTGATGTGGCAATTTGAACTTGCTGCAATTGTCCACTGGGTGTGATGATACTGGCAACTTGTGGCATGATGTGTTGAGCTTGAATGATGTTAGGCACTGCCGCGGTTGCCAACTGGACAGGGAAATGAATAGTTTGGTAAATCGTTTGACCGTTTCCTGACGAAATTGGGACTTGGATGGGGATGGTTTGCTGCATTGGAAACTGAACAACTTGCGGCATTGTGGGGCGAACGGCCACGCTTTGGCCATTTGAAAGTTGTACTGTCTGAAGGTTTCCGGGAAGAACTCCTGGTGCTCGGATTATCTGACCAGGGCTGAAGATTTGTTGGGGCTGTTGTCCGCCTGTTGAAAAGAAAATGTCAAGTGTTATTCTAATTGTGGCAAATGCAGCAATGTTGTGAACTGCATACTTGTTAATAAAAATAAATTTTTTGTACATGATAAAAGTGTTGCCAATCTATAGGTATATAATTTGTTGCTTCAAATACATATGTAGAATAGTTTTTCGGTCGTTCATACCATTTAATCGAAAAAAGTCGTCTATTAGGCAATGAAAGAAGAGCTGAAAGAATGGATAGAACTTTGTTGAGCTGTGTGAAAACGGTCGTGCCGAATTCAACTGCCGACACCTCCCGACCAATAATTTAGGCTTTTAAAACATCATGTGAAGATCACCCACTTTTACAACTCCACCTGCTCGGTAAACGGAGTATATACGACTTTTTTTCTCGTTCACACGGTACTACGTTCTTCTTGGCAAAGTTTTTACAAAAATAAATTTCTTTTGGAGAAACTTTAATGTGGAATGAATTATACTCTGACTGTTATCATTAAGAATACAAATGGCTTATTTGTAATTATTTAAATTGACATAAACACTATTTGTTATCATTATTACCGCTGTATTTGTTCTATAAATACATGATCTGAAATAAACTGACGTACCAACAAGGTAATTTTAACTTTAAAACTACTAATCCCATAGAGGGGTTTTTCAACAATTTTGCTTGTATATGACTGATCTTTTCTGTGTTCATGTGACCTTTATGGCATAAACCAGGCTTATTAATTAATCCATTCCATCTATTTACAATTACTATCTAAACGAGCCATATAATTTATCCGATCCATCTATATATATTCTACTTTTTCCTTGTTAAAACGCTAATTAAAGTGGTAAAGGTTCGTTAAGTAAACAAATATTTTAATTCGTACATAGACCTTATTTTTTTCACTCAAAATACATAGTATTATAATTCAATATGAAATTGTTTAGAACGGAGATAAAATTATTGTTGTTTATTGTTACGGGAACGTTTAAGTAATAAAACACAAAGTAGTATATAACTGTGCAGACCTTTCAACCAAACTAATTCTAATATCTACTATAAGACCTGAAGCTTGGATCGATCTTGACGTCTGTTTCATCTCCTTTGTGTTTTTGTGTTCAGTAGTATAATACGGTTCACTTTGATGGCTGAAAATTTTGGAGATCGATAACTTTTCTTTAACAAGTAGCACAACACGGTGGTACCGCACATACTTCAAGAGTCGTATCAAGGTAATTCACTTTGGAGCTGCAGTTTACTACTGAGACATAATTTTTTTTTTAAATGTTTATTGAACAGTTTGTTTTCGTGTTGATCCTACCATCGTTAAGTTAGCTTTAACTTCATGCTAATCCTATCTTACCATTGGGTCAAGAGCAGGTAAAACTGGAAATTAGGATAGATAAGATTGAAATAATTTTTGCAGGTAGGTATCCGACTTAATGATAATATAATAGTACACAGAAGTGGAGAGAAAGCTACAGGAAAATATTTATAATGAATAATTTTAAGTTGTGTTGGCAAAGCTGTCCCCTAGCTCAACTGCTTGATACCGTTCATTTTCTATACTTTTAAATTCGATGTGAATTATTTGTATGTTATTATATCTTAAACGAATTGTTAAGTTTCCTTTGTTTGTAAATTTAACTTTGTGTTATTATTTACTGCACATTATGAAAACACAAGGTTAATCATGCAGATTGTGTGTCACTTACAAATGAAATTCTTCACAAAAAACTTGGCTTAAAGTCATTTAAGTAGTGAAGTCATACATCTAGAATTTCACAACAATCAATCTAGTAGTCGACGTTATCTGTTAAAAATTGCCAGCAAACGAAAACGGGGACCTACTTTTCCATACCTAGTTGCCATGGAACGTCGAGAAAGAATGAAATTAGAGATGCTCGAGAAGTAAAGATATAATTTATTATAATAAAGTGTGTATTATTTAATTTACGGCGTTTGCAAGCACTTAAAAAATTGCAAAAAGATCTGCGATAGTCGAAAGTCACCCATTGCTTAAAACTTGAAAATAAACGACTTTGTGGAATTACGGTTTGTTTTAAAATGACCTTTATTAGTACGTTTCATACGTGTTATAATTTAAATTATTTCAATTTACAGATCTAAAAAAAATAGATTGCACTTTCAGAAACATGTCGATTATGACTGATTATTCTTACATGAAATGCAGCTGGCGAAAGGTCAACAAATTATATGAGAAACACAATAAGTGATCAAGGTCTCAATAGACTGGTAACGAGAAATATTCCAAATCGTATTTTTGGGTAGTGTTGATAATAATAATTGTAAATACAATAATTTTTAAAAATAAATAAACCACCAACTTTCTTATTATCAAGGTTTGCTGAAGTTTAAAAATATTATTGTCCATTTATCTCCTTAAGAATAAAAACAAAATAAAAGAACTTGTGGTTCACCTTTGTTTCATTTCTTTTCGTTCTGTTACAAAAAACCTAAAACCTACGCCTACCTTTTGAGGAATTTTCACCACATGCAAATAAAACAAATAACCAACTGGATTTTTGTAATTTCATGGATTTCTTCAAAATGTGTACAAAATTAACCACTCGCAGTATAATAAGGGAAATGCAGTTTTATGTGTCTCACGGTTATTATTATTACTTGTGTTCCTAGTATGTTTATATGTTTTTTTTTTACTGTATACAATTAATAACCATCAAACCACAATAGCATTTGTAGCAGACGGTAATGCACAGAACTGAATGGAGATTTATTATTATAGTAATGTCAACGCCACCTTGGGGAATTTAGGAAAGTACCACGCATTGAATCATTTAGTAAAATTAAAACTAATAAAAAAAATATTTTTAAAATAATGAGATTGGCATTGCAGCCATGTGGTACTTTACTGAGTGACACAAACAAGGACTGTGTTATATTGGTGTTGCCAACATAATTTTTTTAACATTAAATTTCAAAGGCTTCTAGACGATTTTTTTCTCGATGACACTTATACCATTACTCGTCAAAAACTAAAAAAAAGTGCTACATTACAGACACTGGAAATTGTCACTTGCATGTTTTCTCGACGTTTCATGACCCCAAGAGTACGAAAAAAGTCGTCTCCCGTTTCCGTTTGTCTGCCTTGCAATTTTACTTTAAAACTACAAAACCTGAATTAATACCTCCTTTGTTAACAAACATTATTTTTTTTATAATTTGGTGAAATTTTTACATCACGCATCTAAATCTCAATTATTAATGGAAATTTTGGAAGGCGGTTTTCGCCACTGTTCCCAGCTTACAAAACTCCATAAATTTTATGGAAAACTTTCTCGACTTTTTTGTTTTTGTGAAAATTTAGAGATACCATACTGTTATTATTAGTATTACATTGCACCAACATGTCCTTGCAAAAATGTTGAAAAGGGCATCACAAAATTTTGTAAAGGAAAATTCGTAAAACTCAAATCCTACAATTTTTCGGAAAAGATGGAAACCTTCGACAAATTTTATTTTCAAAAAAATGACCCGAGGTTTGCGTTTTGATCTTCCCAACAAAATTAGTGAACTTTATATACATTACATTGATTAGTTCATACTTGGGACTACAACAAATTATATGTGTATTATTAAATATGTTTCTATTTTTTTTTTATCATCACCTTAAACTCAACGACTATGAAGTTACATCTAAAAGCAAAAAAACAGTTATAGAACGATAACCAATTTTTTTTAAGACTGAGATTACAAGATTTAACGCTTGGTGTTTTTTGTTTACAATAAGAAGTCAAATTTTATATAAAATTTAGGTGCTCCACTTAAAAAATATAAAAGTTTGTTTCGGGTTTTAAGCATCATACAGGGTGAGTCACTAAGCACGCCCTCTTCGATGGCTCATTAATTATTAGAACTACCGCGTAATCAGAAATGACCTGATTTTTAGTTCAAATCGGTATACCTAATGGTGTTTTTTATAATTTCCGGTTGTCAGCTGTCAAGACTGAATTTGTCAATATTTTTAAATTTGCAGAACGTATCAAAATCATAAACTAATATCACGACTGACACATTTGTCACAAAATTACTTCCGTCAACTTCATATGGGGCTTTCAAATGGCGCGAAAATTGTCCGTTTTAAATACTTGAATAATGCACTGAACCCAGGGACCGAAAACAGAAACTTTAAATCACTGTGGACACTTCTACTTCGCAAATTTCGGTGCTGTGTAAAGAAAACTTTTTTAAATAAAAAAGGCATTGGATTTTTTTTTAGTGTATTAGTTTAGTTTATAAACTACAAGAATTTTTTTTGCCACTGATACAAAAAAATCTGTATTTATAGGTTACTTTTCCCTATGTAATAATATATCAAACATTTCATTTTAATTTAAACACAAATAATTTTAAATTTAAGTTCTTTTTTCTTGTCAGGCATGTACTTCTTTAATTTAATTCATTGTAACGTTAATCTTGGGAGAACATTACAACTTACAACTAAACACAAATTATCCTACTAGTGGTAAGTAAAAAACATAAAAATACACACAATTTTGTAATAATTGTTATTTACATACATCAAAGAGTTTTAGTTGTTTTTCTTTTTTTTTTTTTCTCATTTCTTTGGCTTTCATATTTATTGGCTTTGGCTTTAATATTATTAACCTTATTTTGACATCACATGGGTATGACACCTCTCCTCCCCCGTAAGCGATTTTGCCCACGTACTCGTTCGTGTGGCAACCGGTTCTCTCTTTAAAAAAATTACAAAATTTGATTTTGCCACTTTATTTTTTTATGAGAACCTCTACATATAAGTTAAAATAAAGATATGTATGCAATATTAAAATAAATCTGAAGGAGCATGCTACACCTAGGTTTCAAATGTGTTTTTCCTTTACACAATTTTGTGACGACTTTATGAAAATTTCTGAAGGGACCCGTATATCAGTTTGGATTGGTGCAGTGTAATACTAAAAATAGTAGTGTCTATTGGATTCCCAAATTTTCGGATAAATGGAGTGTGGGGTTGCTGATGCAATCAGTAAAATAAATAAACTCATTTTTTAATCTTTTGAGTCAGGCTGTATAAGCAGTTGAAAAAAAAAACATTAATATAATAATAAATAACGAGTAGAGACTCATAATACATATTTTGCACATTCTAGATAAGATTTATTCGGCAAAATTTTGAGCTGACGTCATCAATTTTTTCGGAAAGATAAACAAACATTGACAGACAGACACACAGACGGAAACTGGAAACCCATTTTTTCGTACTCTATCGAGAAAATATGAAAGCAGCCAGTCGCCCAAAGGATTCGATCACAATACTTCCTTAGCTTACGGTCAGAAAATAAAAATTTCAAGAATATCGAAATTACGTGGCAACGTCGTATCGCCAACTACAATATGTAAAAATCTATACGCTACTCCATTAAATAAATTAAGTTGTATGTTACACATTACGTATAATACTTTTTTTTTTTCGTTTCCTGCTACTTGTATCTCGGAAGTATTTGGTAGCAGGTGATGATTTTTTGTGGTTTCGTTATTTTTAGAATTATGTAGTGTGAAAATACCAAAATTTGCCATTTTCCAAAATTTTCAATCTCATTCTTTCCTACTTCATAAAGCGTGTCCAACAATGATTTTTGTATCAAAGACGGTTTTTGTCAAAATGTCAAATATCAAGAAATGTGCCTCACTGTGGTAATAAGGCGCCACAATAATTAACGAAAGAGGTGACAGAGTCACCCTTGATACCAGAATTTCTGGGCATGTTATACATATTTGGCATTACGATATTAAATCACACAATGCACTAATGTCCCCTACAGGATAACGTAATAATAATAAAAAAATAGCTTCTTGGTCCATTAACATTTCATTGTTAACTGTGGCCTGTCAGATTCTTACTATTATTTTTTTATACACTTATGATTTGAAATACGTGAAAAATAAGAAGAAAAAAGGCAGTATTTATTATTAAAAAACTGCTGCACCAAAAAAAAAAGAAATTTAAATTTTACTAGCAAACTTCTAAACAACGTAAAATAATACTGCACATACGAAATGACCGCAACCATGTTACAACTATGTAAATCACCGTAACATGAACGCGTTCTCTCAACGCACACTACAAACCTGCGAGCGACATAGCCGGAATGAAAAGCGCCTCTTGTCCATCCACCGTCACCGTCTGCATCGGCTGCATCACATTGTAGGCCAGGTTCTGTCCCGCCGCGGCGGCGCTGACGATCTGCGCGCCCTGCTGCTGGAGCAGCTGCTGGGAGATCTGCTGCTGCAGGCCAACGGGCACGCTGACCACCTGGGGATTGGCCACGGGCACGTTCTTGACGGGGGTAGGCGTTGTGGACATGGTGATTGTGGGAGGCGTCGGTTCGCTCGAGGTGGGTCCGATCCTGCTGCAGGTCGCGGCCAGCAGCGCGAGCGGCGAGGGGGTGGGCTTGTTTTCCTGCAATCACGACAGGGCGGGGCATCAGACCTTGCTTGCTTGCTTGCATGCCGCGGCCACGGCGGAGAGGCCGATGCACGAGTTGTGTCATCGGCTCTGGGTTGCGTCACCGATGCACGGAATGTGCGTGCGGTGCGTGCGACGCGTGGGAGGACGTGGGTGTGGGGCAGCGGCGGCCGCGAAGGTCGCAACCGGGTTCATGGTATCTGGGATTTTCAATTATAAATATGCAAATGGGGTGGACCTGGAATCGATTTCGGCGGGTTTGGGTCGTGCTGGTTGTGTGGGGACGAAAGGGTGGGGGTGGGAAGACGCTGGGAAGAGGAAAGATGATTTTAAATGAATAAATGTGTTTTGGCACTTCCGTACTAATTTACTTTATACTGAACAAACATTTGGAAATATTCTGGCTTATTTTATTTTTAACGATTATTATTATTATTAATAATTAACTTTCAATCCTATGAAACCTATAACTTATGTAGAATTCGGTTGTCACAAAATGAAAACATTTCAAATAATAGCGAAATTTTATTATTTGTTTCTTTAACGAAATTTTGGTAAGATACTTAACATTAATTTACGAACACCCCTATATTTGAGCCCTTGAAATTGAAAGTGGTGTAAGTCAGTTTTAGGTTGTTTTAAAATAAATGACTTTAAAGTTCAGTCATTTCTGAAAAAAATCATTGTTGTGGATCAATTTTCTACCCAATAACAGGTATTTTGTCAAGATAATCAAAATATTAGAAACACAAACCCGTTTTAATAAAAATTGCAAATTTTGATTGACTTACGCCAGGACAAAACTTCCCTGGCCTCTGAAGTACAGTGAAATAAATAAAAAAAACCAACAGTGTCATAAGAGGTGTAAGCCATATTCAACTCTTGGGAACCGTGGTTCCTATATTCATATAAAAAATTATATACACTTGTGGAAAATCTGGGTGCCTACGGTAAAAACTCAAGACGGATTCATTAACCACAAGTACAGGAGTATGTTATTATAAAAAATTAAATACCACTTACTATGAAAAAATTGAGTTGATGTCATCAAATTGTTGGTGGGAATGAGTAGACAAATTTTGGTTAGGGTTTTACCATCTACACCATATTCCTAAACATATACATACATACACAATATTTTCGGAGTTTATCTATCTAATTAAATTCAACACAGACGACCGACAGACAGGCAGACGACGGAAAAGGAATACCTATTTTTTTCATACTCTACGGGCCGTGAAATGATACTTGTTTAGTTTACCCTCGGAAAGTAAAAATAAACAACAAATCTTGTATTTTATAAACGATATTATTTTACCAGAGGAATCTGTCAAACAACAGCCCCATTGTACAGGCAGAATCACTAACCGCGCGTTTCTCGATATCTCATTAATTATTTATTAAAAATAGAAAAAAAGTCAAAAATTTTACAGTTCTTTGAGGACTATACTCTAAAATTATTATTAACTATACAGAGTGTTTTGTTTTTAAGGCGTAAGAAACTTAGTTTTTTTTATGAAACACCCAATATATTTTTACATATTTCGATTGATCTCTTCTCAGGTTTTATAACCACAGTTTTATTTTAACTTTCCTGTGCGATGTTGCCACGTTATTCCAATTTTCTTTAAATTTTTTAGCAATGGAAAGGTCTCGAAAATCGTTATACATATAATTATTAATGGAATGGTTCACAAAAAAATCATAGTAAGATATTAAAATCTGTACGCGCTCTATTGTGATATAAATGAAATAAATTTTCATATACAGAGTGTTTATAAAAATGTTTTATTACAATTTTCAAACATGTATCAATATTTCGTCTTTTTTCAAATCGAACATCCTATACTTTATCTTTGCATCTTATTTTATTTTTTGTTGTGTTTCTTTTTGGTTAAGTATGTATTTTCTACATTTAAAGTTGATAGTTACTGCGATTTTTCACCTTCTTGAGAGATACATCAATATATTAGAAGAATGTAAACAAAAATAGAGTAATATACAGTAATAAAATGTAGGGTGTTCTATTTGTAAAAGCTGAAATATTGTTAGCTGAAAATTGTAAAGTTTTAAACTTTTTTATAAATACTCTGTAGATTAAAATTTGATTTAATTTAATCTTAAAGTAACCCTATTGCGATTTCTTTATGAAACCTTCTGTTTCTACAAAAATTTAAGAAAATTGGTATGACGTGGCAACGTCGCATCACAATTTCAACAATAAACTGTGATTGTAAAATCTGAGAAAAGATCAATCAAATTATGTAAAAATATGTCTTCAAAGAATGACCGTACAGCTGGTTTTTGACGTTTTTTTTTCTATCTCTAATATTTAATGAGATATCAAGAAACGCGCCCTTCGTGACTCACCCTGTATAACTGACGTAACACCACTTTCATTTATCCATTTTCTAGTCGATAGTGTCATCAAAACCTCTGAAAAATATGCAGAGTGATCGCATTGATTATTAAAAACAGAAAAATTGGTCTAAGGCTATTTAGCTCGCCTCTGAGGTAGGTTTTTCATAATAAAATTTTGTGATGACCTCGTCCACTGTTTGACAAGGGACATTAAGTTGGATAGATAGATAATTTAATAAAAGTCACAGACGACGGACAGACAGACAGACGGAAATGGGCAACTTATTGTTTCGAACTTTGGGGATCATGAAACGTCCAGAAAACTTTAAAGTAGTCATCGAGTTGTCTTGATGTTTAAATTCAGGTTTTTGACAATTAATTTAAGGAACATGTCACCACTGCGCATGATCATTTATATTTTGACATTTGATTTGACTTCCTTCTGTCAGAACTGTCAAAAGTGTCAGATTTCTGTCATTTTTGTTGGAGAATGGCAACAGTCTTACAGGTTCGTGAGGGAAATACCCGTTATTGACGTCCTTAAACAGTGTGGCGATGATCATTGATTTTGCTTTTTTCGAAACTTTAATTTTTTTTCACCTTTGTTTGATTATTGAATGTTTATAATTTTCTACTAAAATATTTGGAGTATATTTTTTAGTTCTTTGTGGATAAAAATATTACAATAAACGTTGCATAACAACATCAAAGTATTGCAACCAAAATCGGACTTTACTTTGCACATTTTCGGATCTTAAAAAAAAAAATAATAAGGGTGGCCCGTTTTTCGTGCCGGTGAGTGTACCTATAGTGTATGCAACTATATATTCTAATAACTTTTTAAGAGGAGTCGCTACGTTTGGCTCTTATGGTGTTCTCAATATATATCCAAAATGTAATATCTCCATTACTAACACACTTATTGTTATGAAATTTTAAATGTAACTTGTCCACAACTTTCAGTACATAACTGCCAGAGCAGTTTTTTTTAGCAATTTACTATCATATATTTTTTTAATCTTGTTGAGATTTTTGCATCACGTATTTTAAAAAATCAATATTTCAGTTATTTATGGAAACTTTGGGACGCGGTTTTCACCATCGTTTTCAGCTTGCAAACTTTAGAAATCCTACCAGGTCTATTTTTGACTTTATTTGTTGGGACTGAGATATAGTAAAAATAAAATTTACCAACTTCTACGACACAAGCTTTTTTTACTGTGTATCGTTTCTAACAAAAAAAGTCGACGATATATCTGGCGCGATTTCTGAAGTTTTGTAAGCTGAAAACAGTGTTGAAAACTGTTTGGAATTTCCTTCCATAATTGAGATATTGATTTTTAAAAATATGTTATGCCAAAATTCCGAAAACACCTATGTTTCTCTTTCTCATAGGTACCACGGAATTTGTCAAAATTTTGTGACGTAAACGAATTTCAATAATGACCATGAGTAATGATGAAGACTGATAACCACCCGAGGATAATCAGATAGTGAAAGTAAAAGTACATTAGCGATTAAACTTCACCATTGCCCGTATTACTACCTACTACCGTCTAAAATACACAACTAAGTGGAACTCTCCACATCAGGGTTGGCTGAAAGTTCATTAGAAAGGATATCTTTTAAACTTTTTGTAACAATTTAAAATATATTATAATGTTGAAGACGAATGGGTCGGTGATGATATTGTGCGTTGGGGTTCGTAAATCGTAAGTCCGACCCTGTGATAAATCTTTACATAAAACAAGTTTGTATCCACTGGTTCACCTATAGCTAAAATCTTTGCTTCCTTTAACATTTGCCTACTAAATATGTATATCGTATAATATGAGCAGGTAGATTTCGGGTCATGGAAACCTTAATAAGCATCTGTGAGATAAATATCAACAAATGTATGCAAACTTTTATATTTTTGTCAGCATTGCTTAATTTTGCGTAGGCAGCAAGATATGTGGAAGCTCCAACACATTTTTTATGGACTTCAGTAAAATAAAGTGAAATGAGTTTCGAAGCTCTCTTGCGAGTGGAAATTCGCCCACAAAATATAGATACGTGTAAACGTACTCCTAAAAAATATATGTTGGGACCTTACAGACCGCTTCTTCCAAATTTTGTGTCATATTACTGCGAAGACAGGATATAACAAAATCAATGAAGAAGGAATATCATTTTATCAATAATTTAAGACACGAAATTTCGAACAAACTGTTACTTTGTTACTTTACTTTATTACCACTTCGTAGCCCTTATTTGTATATAGTCAGTAGTTAACTGAAATAATTACATTAAAGATATCGCATGTCACTATAGATCAGTTGATCGACACACCGATATACCGATTCAAGTTCATAGTATTCTGACAGCATATACCTTTGTTTTAATAATTAAATTCCCTCTTCACCCCCATCCACGCATCTCTATCAAGTCATAACTCTTTCTTTATTATACCACGCAACAATACAAAGTAGAGTAATTACCATTTAACACTCCCTAATAACAAAGTGTAAAAAAGCGTTTCTTTCACCACTTTAATTTCCCAGTAATTATTTCTGAAGATATTCTTAATGTAACTGTCAGGTACCGCAGGTGTTTACTTAAAATAAAAATAACTGCCACTTCCTGTTGAACTAGATGTAGCATAACTTAAAAATATACACAAAAAGGCAGTTACGTTTGCATGTCCGATCAAATAACTACATACATAATAAGCCCAACTTAATCCGAATTAATACAGAAACGAGACATAAAAAATCCACCTGAAACACCTGGCCAATAAAATTTTATCGCCAACTAATCACCACGTTGTGAAAATGGTCACACGTGGTATTTTACATTTATATTTGGATTTCCTGCAGGGCGGCCTTGAGGTCGTGCTCACCACTGAGCGAAAAAGAAAAAAGAGGAATGTACACCATCGCGAAAAAGCCACTACATTAATATGCGAACGTAACAAAGTTCATTCATCGCGGTGCACTCCGTAACAAAAGACAATCTGTTGCTATCCAAAAAGTAGTACGAGGTCCGGCTGTTTGAAAGCAGAAAACCTCAAGTTCCTCTCCCGTAGTTGCATTACGTAACTCTACTTCCCGACAAAATTAATTAACCTAAGCTACTATTTACTTACAAAAAAGGAAGGAGATTGAAAATTATACACAAAAAGCGCCAACTTAAATTTTTGTTTACATGTTTAATATTATGGATGAAACAAGAAGTTTCAGAAAAGATTTGCTCCCACAAAAATAGTGACACGTGTATTCTAATACAATACACACACAGCCTGACTTGGTACATTGGCGACACCCATTTTTCTGCAATTTCTTGTTTAAATTGGCAAACTGATGGTAATTTGCATCACAATGGGCGCACTCTAAGGTGCGATCAACAAAAGCGTTCTTAAAGTGGAGCTGGGCGAGCAAGCTGTCTCCATTTTCTACTATACTCACAACGATGAATGCTAAAAATCTAACACCATCTGATTCTAGTAAATTTTCGTTGATCCCAATCATTTATCTGTTGTATACGAATACATAATATATATTTTTTTAATCGAAACTATTTCGCGTGTCCTGTTGGCATTATCCGTAGCGTTGTGTGTGCTTTTAAAATCACGCTAAGAATGCAAAAGTTACTGCTGTCGTTCTTATTTTGTATAACATATTTATTAGTTACGCTCGTTTCTCTTATTGGTGCATATTGGAAATATGACACACCTTGAAAAGTAACCTAATGTCTAACAACGAAACCCCGCCCTCTTCCGGAAAAATAAGACATTAGGCATACATATTTTAATCAAAAATAAAAATTGTTAATAAATTTTACATTTTTTATTCCATTGGGGTGGATAAAATTTACTAATTAGTTGTCAAAGTTTAGAAAAATTCCCTACTTTGAACACTTACACTTCAGCATAATTTTAATATTAATCTCTGTGGTAACATCAAAAGGAACGGTGGAATATTAAATAGGCAGTGACATCTTAAAAATTGAATCTAAACCAAGGTTAATAACCTCTTTTTCGAGATGACTTCAACAATATTTTGGAGGGAATAAATAATTAAGTAACTTTGATGTCCACAATGTAACTCTAATCACAACATTACTGTTCCCAGAACGAGAGGAACTATTTGGGAGATAGGAAAGGTGGGGCAAGACGGAGTATTGCGGCAATATGTAGTACATAATTCAAATACTATTAATCACTGCAAATGCGTTCGATTTGTCTTTTCACTTAGCTTATACAATTTACGGTAAAATGATATATCACAATTAAGTGCCATTAAACATATTCCAACAGGTTCTGATATTATACCACTTAAATGTTTAGCTTCTTTTAATAACAAATTCGACAGAGGAAATAAAATTATTGGAAAACAATACCGGCGGGAGCTATGAAGAATACTGTTTGTGCTACTTTGAAAGTAAAATTAAGCTACCAAATTGATGCGACGATATTTTCCACGCACAAACAATCTTGGAAGAAGCAGTAAACTTCATATGGAACGTTGGTATGATAATATATTCGATTTAGGCATACTGAGATATGCAACCACCACCTAACTGAGAAATAAATATTTTTGTGGCTTCAATTTTTTCTTGAAGTTTATTTTAATTGGAAACCTAATTTAATAAATTCATGGCCTAATGGACCATTTTTTTTCGAACACATGGTAACTTTCCGAAGGGGATGCATACTATTTAATTGGACAATAATAAATTTTATTCATAATATCTGATAAGACATTAGCTATTTAGAGGCATTAATATTTACATGATGTAAAACGTCATATTCAGAAAAGATAAATTATAGCGAAAAGAGTAAATAAGGAAAAAAAAACGTTCATAAGATAACCCATTTATCTCTGTGAATAACTTTTTTATGTGTTTTAATGTCCTCGAAAGACAAATATATTGCCTTGTATGGATATAGCAAATATATCAGTCAGTAACGTAGATGATTACCTTTTAATTTCAACCAAGTTTTCATTTTTGTTTCGACAATAATAATTGATGTAACAGAGAGTGACAATTATTTTTATGGATTTTGGCACTTATGTGATTATAAAAAAAATAATCATTTACACCTGCACTCACTGTAGCATTTTTCATCAAATACCCTAAAATAACCAAGATGTAAATGTGTCGGTGTAAATGTTGCTCAAGAACAACTATTTTCCTTTAAATGCAATAAATTAATTTATTTATCTATTTTTACATCAAGCAGCCACTAGATATTTGAAAATGGTCACACTGGCTATTGTTTATTTTGATAAGGATTTCCTACAGAGTGACCTTGACGAAAAAAAAAGAAAAGTAACAAAAAGAACGCACGCTATCGCGAAAAGCCAACGATAAACCAATAAACGTCCGGGTATAATCGGTAACAAAAGAACATTAATCGCGGAACAATCGCCACAATCAACAATCAATCCGCCTGCTGCGACTAACATCGCGTAATGAAGAAGTCTTGGTCCGATATCCAAGAAGAAGGACGAGTTCCGACCCCTGGTTGGAGCCAAAGTTCGACCTCCTCTCCTATCTTGGAACCGGGACAAAGCAACTCCCACAGCTAACGTCACGATCTCCGCCCTAAACTAACAATCTAGCGGGCCATGCCTAAAATTACCACTTAAGCCAACTACACCCACCTGTGCAGAGTTCTGAACGTATTCCGTTTTTAGGTTCTGGTTCACTTCAGTAGTCATTATTGCAGTCCATCGGAATAAATACGTTCATTGTTGAACCACTGTAGCCGTGTTGTGCGCTGTGAACCGGGCTGTGCCACACGAAATCGATATGGTTTCGCTGCCTACTTGATCTATCCGGCGTATGCCACACTGTTGTTTATTGGGAATTTGTTGTAATAACGGCGGACACTGGTAATTGTTGAAACACACGGTTGGGCGTGATGGGGCCTCGCAAGACACCCAACGCTGGCTAAATTGGACAAGTCACAGGCAGGGCAACGAAAGCGCAAACCACGCCATTCTGGGACTGGCTTGGGTGGGGAGGGATCCGAGCTAGCGCGGTCTTTCAAATAACGGATGGCACACAATGACATAGGCGGAGGCTACGTTGGGGACGGACCGGCGGCCGGCTACTAATTGTCGAAAATTACAAGTGTAAACTTTCATTTTTTCGTTAGTTACGCGGGAGCGAAGACGGAAAAGTGGCCAAATCGAACCAAGATTGTCAATTAAATGTTCACGTTTCGATGCATTCGAGATAATTCAAATGTCACAATTATTCTGTCAGAAAACATGTTAACCATAATAATTAAAATTTTAAAATATACACTATTTATAAGTGAAAAAACTGCACCCTTTGTTAATTTATTAGAGCCCTCTGTAAATATTACACACATTAATTAAAAATTTAGTCAGAATTCCAGTTTTCATTTAAGTTTTAAAAATGGAATTGTTTTCGGTAATCTTATTTTTTTGACTAATTTATCTACAGTAATTTTTATCGAAGTTCTGGGATAGAAATTGGAATAGGCTACTTGCATGAATTTTAGTTTTATACAGACAGACGTAATAAGCCATTGTAAGTAATTTAGTGAAACTAAAAAAAAATAGCAAATTTTTTATCATGCATAAAAAATGTTCAAAGTTGAATTTATTCCAATGTTGCGCCAAATTGTTACACCAATTAGAACACAGTCGGTAGAAATAGTCACAACACGTTTGCGATGTTGCCACATTTCAGTCTGTAGCGGTCTGTGATGTCACAATCCGTACGTCGTTGTTTAAAAATGAAATAAATTTTAATCACGTTTTAAACAATTATTGTTTACAATTTATACGAAATTATCGACAAGCATCGGTTTATGACATCGTTGTTCATATATTAAGCCCTGAAATTTGCCAGTGGCCTATTGACGATCGAGTTCATGCCACAGTAGCTCTATAGGATTTAAAGTAAATTGTCATTTTTTTTTGGTAACGATTTTAGCAGAAAGTCCCAAACATCAAAATAATAAATTATGGAGAAAAATAAAAAATACTTATATCGCAATTACTGAAAAAATTGCTGGTGTTCAACTTCTTTTCAGCAGTATTTATAAAAAACTAAACATGAATACCCGAAGAAATACCTAAATAATATCTACAATACAAATAACAAATTAAAAATAACAAATACTTAGTACACAAGTTCCATTAAAAAATCTCAAAATATTTATTTTAAAAATGAACTGAAAAATCAAGACCACACGCAATTCAAAAGTTTGCTTTTAACAGTGTAATGTAGCATTTTCTTAAATTTAATCACAAGTAAATTTTACCTTTATTTAATATGTATAACATGGAATTCGTCATATTTTCATCTGTTATTAACATAAACATCATTTTATTGGATTGTGATCTCGACGCACTACACTGCAAAGTTGTGATCCCTGAAATTTGTTTACATTTTCAAAAGGTTTGTAATTTGTACGTAACGTAGGCGACAGATTAGAAAAACCCGTTTCTCTATTTTAAAGAAATACGACATCATTGTAACATAGATAATTTAGTAATGAACCACTTGTATTACCAGAAAATTGACTTACAAATTGTGTAGTTTGATAAATTCCAACACCCAAACTCAACCTTGAATTATTTAATACAGATTCTGAAAACTTTTTTTTCAACATTCTCTGAGAAATGGCAATTTCTGTATTCAACATCAATATTAAATTTCTATTCAAATATATTATTTTTACTGTTATTGCTCCTTCGCACCACCATTTTCGGATTTTCTGGCAAACATGAGAAAAAATATTGCTTACCCAGTTGTGTTTTCTTCCTCCTCCTTCATTAATTTAATTGAAAGCTTCTCCACTACCAAAAATTTGGAAAACCTGCGGAGGTATCATAGGAAGAATTAACTACAGAACTGTCAAACATGAATGAAGATTGTTTACCACCTGAAGATCAGAAGAGTGGAAGTTGTGTTCTCTACATACCTACACGTAATTTATTTCTACAAAATGCGACACGTGTTTCGACCTGTCAAAACTTGTGGGCCATCATCAGGCTACAATCGAAAATACTTCAGAATTATTTTAATTACTTATAAATTGGTGCTGGCGTCTGAAATCGTTAGAAATTATCGAGAGCATGGAAAACGCTTTTTTTTTAGGAAATATAAAGTTTGAAAAGGTGTAACAAAGCACTAGATTTATAATATGAGGCGTTAAAATAAAGTCTTTAGATTCCCACTGGAACTTGTTGCCTCCGAGTTTTGGTAATGTGAATGACGAACATGGCATGAAGAGTAGTTGAAAGGAAAAAGGGAAGTAGAATAGCGAAATGCTTGCTGATTAGTGCTGAACACTGACATCAGGAGATTCCACACGAGAAACATATTTTAATTTCAATGCAAAAGTGCGTATTATTTTTATTAAACATAACATCTTTTATTAATTTTTTAAGTTATTTTTAACTGATTAGAACTGGACAATGAAAATAAATTGCATACAAACGTTAAAGGAAAAAATAAAAATTAAACATTTGTTGTCCTGTGCTTAGAGTACGAGATAATAATTGTTACGAAACCAACTGCAAGAGAAATTCTTCTAAAAAGAAACTCAACGATCAAGTTGTCATTCTGAAAGTTTCTGGGGAGCTTTTTGCCATATAAATGTACCTGATTTCATTCTTAAACATTTTGTTAAAATTCAGTTCCACAATTCTAGCATCTATGACGCTATTCTTTATTAGAACAACCTAAGAAAAAGAATACCAAGTCGGGAATTTATCAGTTCAATCTCCAACATGTATTGCATTAATATCTAACGTATTTCTGGTTTTCTGTTCGACTTTCTAATTCCTTGAATATTATTCAAAGGGAGCAAAAGCTGTTATTTGTGAAATGGCAAAGGAATAAAACACTGTTCTTCGATTCAGCTCGTTCTATACAAACTGGTTTTAACCGCTCAAGAATCTTTGAAGATTTTGACCTTCTTGACTAAATTGCTGAATTCATATTACGAACGTAGTATGTATTGTAGGAAAGTGTATATAGTTACCCTAAGTCAGGTGTTACAAAAATGTAATTTTTAATAATTTTATAATGAAAGAAAATTTTAGAGATTATAACAACGTGTTTAATGATTTTTCAGAATGTTAAAAAATATAAATTTATAGAGTTCTATGTATGTATTATGTACTCAAAAGTTCTACTTTCTCATCTTTAGTAAGTCTGAATCTTCTTTATTCAGGCTTTTGAAGATATAGAAAAAAATCCATTCAGTTAAAAAAGTGGCAGTGATAAATCTACCAATTTCAGCCGCCTGCTTTTGTTTTAGTTTTGCTTGTTACACAATGTACTATTTATTCCTTGAATTTAAAAACGGTGATGTGATTTCGAAAATAAGGAAAACTAACTGCGAAAAGTTGTTGAGAGTATATGAATTGAGTAAAAAAAATGTGCTGAGAAAATTGTTGCAGACAGTGAAAAGAAATTCAAGTTTACGTAATTTTATCGACTTTATTTAGCGAAATAGAAAAGATTTTGAAAGATTTAGGTATTCGTTTTCACATAAACATTTATTTTTCATTGTCCTTACTGTGTTAATTCTAATTTCTTATAATACATATATAGTAAATTATTTTTCTAGCGTTACTTTCTGCTTTAGTCTTTTCATATAGAAAGATCACTTTACTTCTTTCTTTCTTCGTGCTTAAAAAAATCTTGAAAATAAATCTGTTATATGCACTCATGTTGTACTTTTAGAATTTAAATCCAAACTTATAACCTCTCAAAAACAAAGGAATCCGGTGCGATTATTTCAATTTTCGTGTGTTTTAAAGATAAAAATTGAGTCAAAATATGGTTTTTAGTAAATTTTTTCATTAAACTTAAAACTAAAAATAACAAAAGAAGAAAGTTATAACCTTGTAATAAATGCCACATCAAAAATAAAATGCTGGAAACGTGATCACAGTTTAACTTGGCATAAATACCTAAAAATTTAATGGTTTGTTAAGAATATGTATGTGATTTATTTCATGTCTGTAAAACAGTAAAACTGGTAAAGTGGTATTAACTTAAGTTCTTTGAAATTGAAAGATACTACTTTTAGGAAAATTAATTTTTGTAAAACATACAAATACTTCTAAAATAAGCATAGCTTGTCATATTTATATTTTAATTATCATTATTGACTATTCTAAGAATTATGTATGCCTATATTCTTCACAGAAAATAAAACATGTGCGAAAAAATACCATAATTTATAGTTGTGGTTTTCGTGGGATACACTTTTAAGTAGTTCCTAAAATGAGATTTTGTGTGGGTGCAAATTAAAGTTTTTTGCAGGAGTACAAACATTATAACTTTGTAGTCTAAAGGTGATAAAAAAGTTCAGTCCAGCAGATGAATCAGTTTTTTATTTTTTAACCAATAAGTTTTGAATACAAGTTAATAATATCCATAAAAGTAAACCAGAGTTTATTGTAACAGAAACTTATGACCACAAGTTATGCATTTTTGTTTCTAGAAGTAGGAAAAAAAAACCTCTAAAGCTCTACTAGGTTGTCTAAAAGCGTGTTTTTAAACACCTACACAAAGTAATTTTTTTCACTATTTTACAAATTCTACACATTTTTAAAGAGACTCAAACATTTTAAAAATTTACGAAATAACTTTCTCTGTAATCTTTGGAAGAAAAAATAATTCTATATACTTAGTTATTTACATTAAATAAATAGTGTTACGTATTAATGTTAAACATTATTAATAAATGTAACATTATTTCCAGATGTAAGTAATACATATCTTAAACATACTTAATTATAAAAAATTCAACTGACACTTAAGTATGTGACGCTTTTTTTGTATCCATCATTTATATTTCTATATAAATGAGGAATGAATCTAGTTTTGCTAAAATTATAACAAATTAATAACGTTATTAGCATTTCATTGTGAGTGCAGATCATAATTAATTTAATAATAATAATATTTAATAATAATTAGATACATTTTATTCCCATGAAAAATAAATGACGTCGTCTTAATA